AAAGGGAAATGATGCCATCTAGTCTCCCAAAGGCTTGCTGAAAATGTGGTACAGGACAACAGCAGTGCAGCCTGCAAGCAGTCATCTGTGAGAGGAACAGAGTATTTTCAGGTGCTTTGGGAAGCCAGACTAGTGAAGTATTCCTGTAAGAGTGCATTTTCTGTTGTGTAAATAATTTGTCGGTGTTTTGTCTTTAGGCATCAGCGTTCCATAAAGTAGTCATCAGTAATACAAGTGAATATGAGGAAATAATAAAACTTTTTGGGTCAGGAGATGTAAACTCACACAGAAGAGGAGCAACAAAAAAGAAAAAAAAAAAGTTATTTTGAGCTTTTGTGCTGAGATGAAAATCTGCTACAGCAGGACTTCAGTCTCCTCAACCTTGACCAAGTCTCTACTACTTGACCAAGCAGAAGACAAGCAAAGTTTTATTGTTCAGGCATGGGAGCCTTTTGGCTTTCTAAAATAATCTGCATTACCCCTACACAGTGTAATCTCATTTGACGGCCTCCTTCCCCCTGTCCTGGGCAGGGCTGGATGTCTACAAACTCTGTAGAGAAACAACGTTCATACTGGTGAAGCTCTGTGTCTGCAAGACCGGCTATAATGGGCAAAAATGAAAAAGAAATTTCAAGTAATTTTGATTTGTAATCGAGATTCTTTTTCAAACAGTGAGGTAATAAGTAAATCCTGGTGTAAGCTTCATCCTTTGTGAGACTTTTGCTTCTTTACCTTCTTGACTCTGGCACTCTTGTGAGAGGCAGGGGAGGACCAGAGTGCCTGACAGCCTTCCCCCTTGCAAGTCTCCTGCACTCATTTAGATCTTTCTGCTAAACTCTGTAAGGAAGGAGGAGAGCACAGCTCCTTTGATGACCTTGATCTAAAAAGCAAGTTGTCATCTAAAGTAAAAGAGAGAGACTGCAGTGGATGAAAGAGAAGCAATATGCTGATTTTCTGGTCTAGCAGTGCTGTTATTCTACCTGTGTCCCAAGCCCATACACAAATAATTGGGAATTTGCTGTCTTAATGGTTGTTGAGTTTTTTTATTGTACCTCTGTGGCTCTGTGGGTGAATGTAAAAAGGGTTTTGTACATGTATATTTGTATATTTGGTAGACACTGCACAGCTAAAGCCTCTTTCAATTTTCTCGCTAATTTATTTTTAATTTTGTAGCCCCCCCAGGGGTAAATCCTTATTACAAGATGTAAAACCATCTCTTCTACAAAGCAGCTTATTTGTTGATTTTTTATTCAAGCCAGCAGATGCAAAGCTGTAACTTTTCTCCACACACTGAAACCTCCTTTGTGTATATAGCTGTTAAGTGTGTCTCACTGCAAGATTAGTAAAAAAATTAAAACTTAAAATATCACTCTAGAAAGAGCAAGAAGAGAAGGTTTTTATTTCTTTGCAATAAGACTATGCTAGACTTCTGAATCTTGAAATATTCTTAACAGGCAACTTACTTTTAAATCTACATGACATTTGGATTAGACTGAATATGAAGACTTACATTTTCAGAAGCTTAAGTGCTGAAAGAAGTTGAGGGTTGTTTTTTGAAGGAGGACCTCCATCAAAAGAAGGCAGTGTCTAAAGACAGCAATGCTGTGTGCACTTACATAAATGCATGTTCACTGGCATCAATATGTGCTTTGTCTCACGGGAAATGTTGCCCTTAAGCTAACCTGCACACTTTATGGTTCAATATTTGTTTATATGACTGGCTGAAACTCCTAGTCACAGATGTATTGCAGTAATAACAAAAAGACATGATCTGAAATAATCTCTCTTCCTACTGTATCTTATTCTAATCAAATCATGTTTTAAAAAAAGTTGAAAAAAACCCTTTAAAATGCTTTACCAGCTGGTTCCGGTGTAGACATCTACATTTGGTCCTTCTGGTCTACTATGCTGACAACTCAAAAGACATGACTAATTAGTTTGCTTTGAGTTGTCATCAAGGGACATATACTTTGAAAAAACTCAGATTATCTCTTTTTGCTTTGTTTTTAATAATGTGTGATGGTTGTGTTCCCATAATTGCTTTTACACAAAGGCAATGTTTATTTCTATTCAGGATGTGAGTCTTAGAATAAAGCTCTTGATTCTCTCTGTTTCTCCCTTTAGTCTTCACAAGTCAAGGCTTCCCACTTGTCTCCTTAACTCCAATTTCCATTTTCTTTGTTTTTCTGAATTCACTGAATTTTCAATCTGTGATTGATGTTCAGAGGTCCTGTACTGCTGGCAGCCCCACACCTTCTCCAGATTATCTTCCACTGTTGCCTTTTATCAGGTGTTTTTTGCTAGACTGGGACATTTGAGTATGGTGATTTCATTTCAGCCACCTGTCAAAACCAGGACTCCACTGCCTCTGCCTTGATCTGTCCATAGCATTGGACTGACAGTCACTGCAGATGATCATCGTCCTACTGCCTATCTCCCCAAAAGATCTCCCACTTTGGAAGTGACTCCTGAGCTTTTTGCTCTTCCCAACATTCTCAGCAGAAACTGCTTTTTTCCAGTTTGGAATATCTCAGAGATCTAAATCAAAGATAAGTTACCATGTAGCAAGTATTTTTCTTATTTTCATCAAGAGAAAAGAAAGAATCAAGAAAGCAAAAAGAGAGAACTGTGTGTGCCAGTTTAAATTGTAGAAGAGTTAATTCCCATCCCTGGAAACTGTAACTTTACCCATTAGCCAGAAGTCATAGCCTTACATTTCTTTTAAAGCTGACTTAGTTGGCCACATCTGAGCAATACGGTCATCTGTGGCTGGAAATTGAAGAAAGCACTGGCAAACCAAAGGCACCAAGAGGTCTTCACTTGTGTCCACAGTCCTGGCTCAGGCAACCTACTGCCAGTGCAGTCCTTGAGCCTGCTGCTTCTCTCTGCTTTGGTAGGTACCATCAAGGTCCTACAGTAACAAAAAGGGATTCAGGTGCAATTTCCACTGTTGGAATAGAGACTGCAGTTTGATGTCTTGGATTTTTTTGGCTTCATCTTTACAATTAAAATGAAAAATCACTCTGCAACGTTAACACATCTTTCCATTGCATTGTTGTTTTCCAGTTGATGCTTTAAAGGCATCAACTGGAAAACAGTTGATGCTTCAACTGGAAAACAACTGGGCTGCATAAAAACTTGAGTTACAGTGTCAATACCTCTAAAGGATTTATCTTAAAATATCTTAAAGGACTTTACAATATCTGTAAAGGACTTGGTTTACACTGATTTCAGTATAAATTAGGACACCTAATCTCAAATTCCCTTTAAAAACCTCTTCCTAAATATATTTTTTAAATATTGGAAATAATACTACATGCTCAAGTCATCACAAAAGTACATAAATGTAGTCATAATTATGTCTGAAGGATAGGATTTAGTAAGTGTAACAGGGAAGTGTGGTATGATCAAATGTATTTACACATTATCCATTGTCTTAAGTATTACTCTACTCACCACCTTGTTTCGCTATTTTTCTGCTGCTTGCTGAAAGAAAGAGAGGGAAGGAGGAGAAAGGAGGGAAGCAAGGAAGGAGGGGAAGGAAAGGGAAAGAAAACTTCTAGCATTTTCAGTTTTGCACTCAGTGTCATTATTGCTGTAACAAATAATTAGGCTGTTGCCTAATAATATCCCACCGAAAGAGTATTTGTGTGAACACCTGTTAATGAACAAACATGAAATGATTCAGATGCTTCCTTCAGGTAAACACCCATTCAAGTCACTCATCAGGGCCAAGTTTTAACAGCTATGATTTTTGAATTAACTTTTGAAGTAGTTATCTGTTTTACTGTAGTTGAGTCTTACAAGATCTGAGACACCTGTGCTATAGAGAGCCTGCTGTTTCTGCCATGGTATAGCAGCCCAGATATCACCATGTCCATTTGAACCAGAGAGTGAACACACTTGATGGAGGAAAATGATGAAGGAGAATTGGGAAGCCTGAGCAAGTTTTGGTGGCAATGGACAATTATGATCCTTTTCTTTTGTGTTTTCCATCACCCATTTTGATGATCATGGGCACTTGAAAAGCTACAGCAATATGAAAAAATCTCAGAATAGTGGGGCTTGCTTTAAAAGTTTCAAGTCAGTTCAAATATAATTTTTAGTACTCTGGCAGTACAAGTAAACCCTACTTAGATTCCTTTTTAGGCTACAGACTCTGAAAGTCCTCCAGTCATACAGTGTTCAGTCACAGCTTGCCCCTTTCACAGTGAAGTCTCATCATGTGTGGAACTTACTGTAATGCAAATAAGTCACAGGTTTGCCCACCCTCATTAATGAGCTGTTTGCTTTTGAATGGAGAACAATAATCCCCAGTCTACCATGAGGAATGCTTTGACCTTTTGAAAGTTGTGGGCTTGATCTGCAGGCTGTATTGCAGTTCCAGTTTTCAAGTGGTGAAGATTAAATATTGGGGGATTGACAGGGTTCCCACAGAAGGCAGCAAACCTGCCTGCTTTAGAAGAAAGATTCTGGGAGCAGAGCAACTGCCACCCAAATACGTCTCAGTGCAGCCTTTCTCAAAACAAGTCTGATACTTTGAACCTCTAGGATCAGAATAATCATCCTTGGAACAGGATCTGTCATGTGCCCCAATGTGATGCTGTTACTTTCCTGCTCTAATATTCCATCATATTTAAAAATATTGATAATCTCTCACCCTGGCAAAAACCCATTTCACCATATGTGCAACATACAACATTTTATCAGTGTGTATGGAAAGTATAAATGTAAAGTATAAAAAGTATAATTGCTCTATTATTTAGCACTTTATATGTGCACATATATGTATATATATTACTTTGCCAAGCTGGCTCTTTTAATATCTGCTAGGCAAATAAAGCGTGTTAGTTTTCACTGCCTTGCAGTGCCTCTTTGTATATGGTGGCTTTCAACTGCTTAGTGTAAATGCAAGAGATCTAAATAATTTTTCTGGACAAACAGGTATTTGGGGCATGTAAACCTAACTCTTACATAGTTGTTCTTGTTTACTTCCACAGGAGAAGAAAACTTGCTGGCAATTTTGAAGAGGAGATGGTGGAAGTACATGATCCTGGGGATAATAGATATAGAAGCCAACTACCTGGTAGTCAAAGCTTATCAATACACGACTCTTACCAGTGTACAGGTAAGGACTCAAAGGATTTCCTATTTTGAGGCAAGATAATAGGTCCAGTGGGGTCAGTGGTGTAGTATCCATTGGCTTCAGTGAACTAATAGCTAATTGCTGCCTCTGACTTCTGTGTACTTTTTAATGCTGACTTGTAAGGAACATTTTTGTCATATTGGACTATTTTTATTGATCAGTATTTTCCAAACTGTACAAAAACATTCTCACTTTCATTTTATTACTCTGTGCTAAACCATTCATAATCACATTTTTGCCATTACCTACATAATTTAATCCTTTGAGGAAATAATTTCAAACTGGCTGAAATACTTTTCTCACTTTGTATTGTACTTGGAGAAAATTCAAGCACACTTCTTTAAGAATTTCTTAATTAGATCTGAGTTTATAAAGGTCTAGGGTGGGCTGAACCAGGGGAGATGGAATATAAGGGAAGTTTTGTGGGTCAAGGTAATGACAGGGACAGATTACTCACTAGTTACCATCACAAGCAAAACAGTCACAACTCGAGCAAATCAGTTTAATTTATTACCAGTCAAATCATTCACATTCTTCCCCTACTCCAGTGTGGGATTCCTCCCAGAGGAGACACTTCTCTACCAACTTCTCCACTCTAAGTCCTTTCTACAGGCTGTGGCTCTTCACAAGCTGCCCCAGCACAGGTCCCTTTCCCAGGGTGCAGCCCTTCAGTAACCAGCAGCTTCAGAGTGGGTCCCCTCCAGGGTTACAAGTCGTGACAGCAAACCTCCTCCAGCATGGGATTCTTTTTCCATGGGTCCGCAGGTCCTGCCAGCAGCCTGCTCTAACACAGGGTTTCCATGGGATCACAGCCTCCTTTGGGCAGTGCTCCAGCACGGGGTTCTGCACAGCCTGCAGGTGAATCTCTGCTCCACCATGACCCTCCATGGGCTGCAGAGGGACATTCTGTCTCAGCATGGTCTGCACCACGGGTTGCAGGAGAATCTCTGCTCTGGCACATGGAGCACCTCCTCCCTTTCCTTCTGCACTGCTCTTGGTGTCTGCAGAGTTGCTATTCTCGCATGTTCTCACTCCTCTCTCCAGCTGCAGTCTCTGTTGAACAGGGTTACTTTTTTTTCTCCCTGCTTACCTGTGTTATCCCAGAGGTGCTACCACTGTCAGTGATGGGCTCAGCCTTGGGCAGCAGCAGGTCCATCTTGGAGACAACTGGCATTGGCTCTGTCAGCTTCTAGCTGCTTCTCAGAGAAGCCACCATGCAGCCCCTACTGCTGTCACTGCTGTCACAGCCTTGCCAAGCAAACCAAATAGAAGATGTTTAGGATCCTGTAATTAGATCAGAGTGCAAAAGTTGTCATTAAGTAAAATGAATGCAGTTTTTATGAAGAAGTCTGACTTCAGCACAAGCCATTAGATGTGTTATATAACAGCTCAACTGCAGCTATCAAAAAGTGTAGTCTCTGCTAAAAAATTATATGTGCAGTGGGCAAAAGCTAGGGTACCGATTCTTCAAAGATGCAATCTGGATATTTTATATATAAAACCACAAAAGAATCAGGCTCCTTCAATTTAAGTGGAAAAATGAATAATAGAAACATTATTAAGATGCTAGAAATTGTCTGTCTTGAAAGAAATCATTGAATACTTAATTGCTACTTGTTCTAAAACAAGTCTAGTGCCTCTTTACATTATTTTTAAATAACTGAGTAACACTAGGTAGTGTTCAATGTATTCTACACCTTACTTACCCGAAGTTTGCATTGGAGTTAATAAAATAAAGGAGTGCCAGTTAATGTTTTGCAGAATCAAAGCTAATTAAGAGTATATTTCTTCCATAGCTGAAAATCAGTGTTGGAAAATCCTGAGCTTCTTTAGCTGAATAAGAAGCAAATATAGAAGAAAACTATGAATTCAAGGAATCTGAATGTGAGGTTTATGCTAAATATTCACAAGTGCCTCTGGCATCAGAATCCCGGTTTGAGAATTCATTGAATCATGCCCAGACAATGTAATATTGTTTTTAACACTTTTCCAAATCTGATTACTTAGTATAGAATAAAGCTTAAATCCACATAAATCTCATATTCTCTGATTTTACTGCCACTAAAAGCCTCAAAGAGAAAAGCAAACTCAATTGCTTCTTTTGTGTGATTCACTCATAGCAAGTATAAATAGAGGCCTGAGCAGGATGATTTGGGTCATTAAATCCCATCTCCCAAAGCCACCAACAAGCATGTACCAAAGGTTCATCTGGCCAGACCTGTGACCCCCCCCCACTTCCAGAAGATGCAGATCCTCAAGCCAGCAATGCAATGAGCATGGCCTTTAGTGTATTCTGTCAACTGATCAAAAGTTACAGTGTGATAGGAAAGCGGGCAGGAGAGTTCAAGGGCATTGCCTGTGCCTCGACAGGGAATTGGTTAGCTGAAATCATCAGTGTTCTCCTTTTAAACTGAGAGGGAGAGAGAGGAGTGGTGGATCAGGAGAGCTGTCAGAGGGCACAGACAATGTCATGTCCATTTTTAGACCTCTTCCACATCAAAATTACAACAGAGCTCAGGTTTCTTTCCCGTGTAGCTTGAAAGAAGGAACAGGTAGGAATTCAAATGTTATCAAGCTTTTTTCCAGGCATGGAGTGAATACAGGGTCACCTTTTCCCATAGCTGTCCTTATTTGCTGGGATACATGTGGAGTGACTGGGAATACCTACTGCATTTTAAATTCATTTCATGCCCTAATATGAATGAGCTTCTTAAGAGACAAGCCCAAAGATACGATGACAATGGGATAAGTATGAGGTAATGCATTAAGATGTTGAATCAAATGACACATTTTCTGAAATGTAGCCAAACACCCTATTTCATTTAAAGATGAAACAGAAGCAGCTCAGGGAATTATTCATCATTGGTCTAAGTGTGTTGTTGTATGAAATGAAGACTGAAAAAGTGGAAAACAGAAGATGAAGAAAAGAAAACTTTTCCTAGAATTTGATTTTTGAGGACAGAAAGGACTCTCAAGAGAAAGGATCTCTCTGTCCTGGAAGGCCTGATCCTGCAGGAGCTCTACCTGTGAGGCCATAAATGCTTACTGGCACACAGCAAAAAATGTTCAAATTTTTTCAGAACTGAGACCCAAGAAGCTATTGCTACCTGCCACAAATCAGCATGGCTTTGACTGAAAGCTGTGGGAGCTATGCCTGTGTACACACTGGGCTGAGAATTGAGCCCTTCAAGTCAGTTCTGGGGGATTTTATAATCAACAGGATGTACATCAGGGCTTTTTTGATGGAGAAAATAAATTTCAAGAGTTTTTGAAACGGTCACTTGAGTAAATGAGAAATTTTGGAGTGTTTTTATAGTGGTGGTACATGGACCACCATTTTTGGTAGGATGTCAGTTTTACAGCATGTCCTTTTTTCCACATGACATCTCTGCTCTGCCATGAAAAACTAACATGCAAGTGTGCAGTGCTTGTGGTGCTTTTAGGCAAAAAAAGACATTACACTGGTCTCAGCAGAAAGCCAAATCTTAACAGTAAAAATACACTTTTATTGCAAATGCTTTGATTTCAGCTTCACCATAAAACCCTTAACATTCAACAGCTTTGCTTGACAAGTAGCTTTTAACTGTTAGGACTGTCAGAGTTTCTAGTTTTTACTCTCTCCTTTTGTTTTTTAATATTTGATATTATTTCATCATGGTTCCATGAAAAGACTAAAAATGGTACCCTACTTTTGTTCAGTGTTTCACCCCCAAATTTTCCTATATTTTAAGATTCTCTTTTGGCTTTGATCTGGGAAAACAGGATTTTCTAATAAACCTTCCTACATATCTTTCTCCAAATGCCTTCAGAATCACAGTGAATGAGAACACGTAGGCACAAATCAGAAATGAATGTGTTACCTAACCTTTGCTTTTGGACATGCTTCTGATTATTTCAAATCCTCATGTACTCTATAATTACTGTTGGAGAATGTGGCAGTCAGTTTCATCATAAGATGAAAGCAAAGTACTGTGAAGCCCAGAAACACATAATTTTCCTCTTTAAAAAAACCTCAACAAACAACTAAAATACCTCCCTTACAAACTAGGTGATGTAGAATTTAGATTGAAAATCAATGCACTATTTATGTTTCAGTCATTTCAGTGTTGGTCATTTGCTAAGGATAAAGCCCAAGATTCCCCTTTTAGGCACCAGCAGTGCAATCCAAAGACAACTCTGTTCAATGGAACAATGCAAGAAACTCACATCTAATTGTCTACAAATATAAAATGTCATCTATTATCCCTTCCCTCGCTGCTCAGATCATGATCTTGGGGCATGAAAACATGTTTTAGCCTATCAGGTTGCTTGTTCTTTGGTAGCTTTAAGCTCTGGCTCTTTGCATGCCTAGAGTGGTTCTGTATTGATGCAGACAGATGCCTAAATACCTACCTCCACTAAAAACCCGAAAGCTAAGTATTGCTACATCAAAGTACACCAAGGAGCTCAATTTGTTAGATATGATCTTAGCACGCCTCAAATACTTGCAGAAAGCTTGGAGTGCTTTCCAAATTGTAAGTGTGGAGCCACCTTTTTCATTAAGTCACAGCTTTTAAAGCAGTGGCCCACAGAAAGGGCTTGACTTAACTCCATCTCAGCTGAGGGCATAGCAATTCAAGCTTTCTGTGGCCATGAAAATTCTCAGGCTAGTACATGAAAACTGTTTCCTAGAGGGTACTCTTAAAAACCTGAGTCAAGTAAGACACAAGGGTTTATAAGTGGATCAATTTGATATCCAAACCCATTTATTTTGAGAAGTACCAGAAATCAGTCACACTTAATGTTATCAGACATAGGTGTGTGGATTCCCAGATGGCTCAAACTTTTGAAATGATCTTTAGTTTCTGTTTGTTATCTTACTTTGACTTGCAGTACATTTTGCAGCCTTCTTGCATGTCAGCTGTTCCAGATACAGATCATACACTATGCACTCCTTTGTACACTAGCACCTGGTCCCATGGATTAGTTTTAAAAGCTATGTA